AAAAATTGTCAGAGCCCAAAAAAATTATCTTACACCTAAAATTTGAGAGGAAACGCATTTAAGGGAGATATTTTATGGCAATTTGATTTTTTTAACACAGTAGCCGCCAAGTTGGAGGACATACTCTTGCCCTCCAACATGGCGGCCAAAACTACTTTTTGCTTGTATCTTGTTAAAAGTTTGATAGTTACGCTCAGATGTGCTGTAAACATTACCACATCATCTTTTCAACAATTTTCTTGAAGTTGAAATGCAAAATTTTTGCTCAGAAAGGGGTAATTCATAGTTTAAAAAAAAAAATCACATTTTAGTCACGTGACCAGCTACGATCTTACTCATTTTAAGAAATTGGTGCGGGTTGGAAAAACTAAATCACTATCATTTTGTTTGAGATATGACCTACTAATCGTTTTTTGAGGGCAAAATCATATAACTTTCATTTTCATAAAAATGATGCCACATGACCTCTTAGTTCAAAGGGCCCGATCTATAGTTGAAGAGCGTGTATTTTATTTCTCAACGAAGACGTAACGGTGAAGAAAGCTAAAATTACTGCAGAAGGCGATTTTTCACAGCCTTCATCAAAGCACCATTCATTTGCGGAGGTATTCTTAAGTTTCATTAATCATTAAATTAAGGTTAACACAGTTTTGGCAGTTTGTAAGTATATGTTATTTGCCAATCTTGAGAAAAGTTGCAGCTCACAAGTTGAAACCTGGCAAGTGAAAAATATACTGATAAAAGATTTTGATTGACAGACAAAATGTAACGTTTTCGTAGTTTCCATGGCAACATGAACGATTGAATTCAACATTAAAATTTCATGTTTGCTCAGTTTACATAAAATTCGCGTATTAGATTTTTCTATAAACTTGCACACAGCTTACTAAAATTAATCAATACCATTTGAACCTCATTTGACCAAATTTTAACAGACCGGTTTTTAGATAATCAATAATATAATTATACCTGGAGTTATGAAAACCGGGTCAGCAAACATTTTGTAATTTTTCTCAACTTCCCCTGTCTAATGGCTTGTTTACTGTGTTGCTTGCTTATCAAGAACGAGAAGTCCAAAGACTACTGCAAAGCTGATTTAAAACAACGTGTATTGTTTTTTATAACAATATTTCGGTTGGCCATACCAGCCTTCTTCAGGTTTACAGATGTTACTGAACTTATGTAGCATTCACAATATTATATAGATGAGGAATGTCGCAATAAAAATTGTTTAAAAGGGAGAGGCGGAAATGACGTACAACACAAAAACTGGAAAGGAAAAATACTAAAGAGATGGATTACAATAATTCGTCACAGCGGTTTAGGCCAAGTTTATGTCGTTTTTTTTTGCTTGTTTTATGGTTAGGGACTTGTGTAGAAGTGGATGTAGACAGAATTACTATCTTACCCCCCCTCCCCCTCCCTTTTTATTTTTCTCCTACCCACAATTCTTTGTTTAACACAAGTGACAGTTATTTGAAATCAGTGTACGCCTAAAGCTGGTTTCGGTGCCGTTTAGCAGTTTAGTTTTAGATATTGGTCACCTTGAGAAACGTTTCCCGGAGAGCATCATGTAAAGCTTAGCCTGCGAAGCGCCAGACGCATTTCCGGTCGTCGCTTCTGTCCCTCCCGACGACCGGAAATGCGTCTGGCGCTTCGCAGGCTATGTAAAGCTCTGAGATGGGACAAAGTTATTACGATTCGCGGAGTCTGCATCGACCGACTCTCGACCACCATTTGAGCGGGGGTGGGTTAGGTCGATTGAGCCCACGGTCTCCATCTGTGGCTGACCAGCGGGTAAAAGTTCAATTCGAAAAGTTGAATGTCGAATGCGGAAACTTGCAAGTACAATGCCTAAAGTCGGACAAAAACTTAAAGGAAAAATGCTAAATCTTGGATGCGAAAAAGTGAATGTACATCCCACTGAACTTGAAGGTCGAATTCGAAAACTTGACTGCTGCGTATGAAAAGTGAAAGTCGAAAGGGAAAACTTGAATGTTGCATAAATCAAAGTTGAATGTTGAATGCAAAAAAAAGTTGAATCGCGAGTGCAAACTCAAATGACAAACACAAAATATAGGATAGATTATGCAAAGCACTATGTAAAATGGAACATTGAATTTTGGCAGAAATGGAACGCAATGAATAAAAGCGTGTCTCCGCGATCAGTTTATCATGAGACATCGCGCTAATAAATAAACCTCGCGTGGTAAATTTTTTTTCGCTTTTAGTCTTAAAACAGCTGAACATTGCTACAATGCATTTCCGACTTGATAAGTAAAACCATGAGTTTGGAAATCAAACCATAGAAGTCATAGAAATGCATTGCTCTGCCAGTGAAAATCAGATTTATACAGGAACAGTGATTTTTTTGCGTTGAGTCTTTTTAAAAAAGGTCAAGAAAACCTACCGCTGGAAAATCTACAACTGAAACCCGCGTAGAAAACGTCCGTTTGTTTGTCATTTATATGGAGAACAGTTTTTGTAGGAAAGTACTGTATTCAAAGGACCAAAGAAATTGCTCTTCAAATGACTATTACTTCACGCGAGTTCTCGATTTCCCGCCATCACATTTGATGCGCCCACGCTATTGTCGTCCAGCAGAAACACGCATGCGCATGCAAAATGCCTTCTGAGAAAATGAGTTTTATTTGCATGAGAATGAAAAATCATTTCCATATCAAAGGCTGCCCTGCCGAACTCAAATCATAAATTGTAAATACATCACAATACACTTAAAAGATTGCTAAACCGTTTCTTTATTTTTGTAGTTTGTTTTCGGCAACAGCCGTTCCAACTGACTGAATTAAATTCGACGTCTGAAACCAAGTCGTGCTAGTGTCGTGCTGCAATCGACCTACAGTCGAGCCAGATTAGTACGACAGCAGCACGACGTTTGAAACAGGCCTAAGCGTTATTGGCTTCCGGGTTGGTTTTTGTATGAGGACTCGACATTTAATACACATGGTAAGTAACCTTCACTTTGAAACGTTTGTTTTTTAAACCTTCAAACTGAACGTCGAAGTCTAGGGAGATTGTCTATGGATTTGCATACATATGTAATCTACATTTAGGAACTTTGTTGTCGTCTTTCTTGCGAACTGCCTCGATGCTAATCACATGCTGGACAAAACAAGTCATGGACATTATGAGTATAATATTTTACTCACCAGTTTTTCAGCCACCTGTCCACAGACTGTCCAACCTTTTGAGAACGAAAAATCGGGATATTTTTAACGATAGGCTAATGACGCGAGCGCTTAAGGGGCGAGCCGTTAGGGGGGCTTGTGGGGGCATATTCCTCAGAAAAGTTTGAAATGTTGATGCTCCAAAACGCCACAGTTTCTAGTGTTCTGAGAGGACAATTTCGGTCAAAAATGTTTGGTAAATCAATCGTCATTTTTATGCTTGTCTTCCGCAATACTAGTGAGAAAACACTTTTTCAGAAAGGGACTGTGAATATTGGGAATATTTGGGATTTCAGTTCCATGCAGATTGAAGCTGACGGTCGAACTTACTTTCTTGGGCTCAAATGGCCCATCAGATTCCATAACTTAACTAAAACCTTTTTCGATATTTTGACACAATGAAGGGAACTCGAACTGGAAGAACAGTATCTCATTTACGCGATCAGAAAGGCTACCAAGATGGATTAACATCGCGTAGGCCAAGCTACAAACCCTTTCGTCGTTTTGCGTGGCTTCGCATACAACTCGATTTTATTAAATTTCTTGAGGCTTCTTTAGTTTTAGGATGTCTGTTTCAGTTGATTACAATATATTTGCGTAGTGTTGTGGTATAAGTATTTATAAGAACTGGAAGAAAATATGCACAGATGTCAACACTGGGATTTTTCCTATCCCGATCGCATATTGGTCGGGTTTCGAGATTTCGAAGCAAAATCGGGGCAATCCCGGCGAAATCGGGATGGTTGAACAGTCTGATTGTCCATGATTTGTGGTCAGAAAATGTATCACGCTCCAAGCACCAAGATCTTTGGCTCGTCGGCGGTGGCAATTACCAAATACACAAATACACAACAATTTTCTATTATGAAAATTCTTAGAAATCGCAGCAATGACGTCAAAATGTTCAAAACGAGCCACGAGCCTCAGCGAGTGGTTGAAGGTATTTCTGTAGGTCTACAAAAGAATATGAACAACGGAAAATTGTTGGCTATCTATCTATCTATCTATCTTCTTTTTTTGACAATAACATTGAATAACATATTTGTGTATATAGTTTTTATAAATGTAATCTCTCAAGAACTTCTTAGTCTTCTTTAACCCTCAAAACGTAAACACGAAAATGGGGCAGCTCGCGTGGCAAGTTGTTACATGCATTGTGCGGGATAAAATTTGCCCTTTTCTGGTGCTGCATTCGAGTTTATCTACTTGATAAATCAGAAGGCGGCACATTTGCTAGCCAATTTAATACTAAGTTCCAGCTTCACTTGATGAAATGGCGCATTCTGATTGACACAAAGTCGACTTATTGGATTTGGAGGGTCTCTTTGTATTCGAAATCTTATGATGGCTCTTGGTTTTCGTATCTACGAAGACTACAGTCTGAGACTAAGGCCCTGCGAGGAAGGTTGCCCCTAGGTAGTCGGGTCACCCAGGCTAGGTAGTGGAGTTTCCCTTCTCCGTTGTTTTACGCAGTTCGTTTTACATGGGTGGGAGGGGAGGGAAGGGTTTCCCCACCTTCAAGGAAGGATAATTGTAGGGACGAGTTCTGTTTACATGAAATACTTAATGACTGGTCCCTCGGGAAACAGTTAATTTGTTTCCCTCGAATCTCAATGTTTTCCAAAGCGTGAAGCAGAAGGTCAGTATAGAAAAAAAACACACAGTTTAATTTGTGTTTATAGTTCTTATAACATAATCTCTCAGAGGCCCTAAGACAACATTGTATTAGCAAGAAACGGCACTTGACGACATTTATCAAGGTGAATATATCCTTCTTCCAAGCGTTTATCATGTCACTCACTTTTATCCCCAGATAACGTCGGGTTCTAGCTAAGAAGAGAGGAACTTTCCTAAAGTGCAACTGAGTTCAAGCCGATTGGAATATCTGATTGGAATACCTACAAGATACGCAGCAAGTCATCATGCCGAGCGCCGAGCAAATAGAACGCGGACTGAACCAGTTCTTGTCATTCTTCGGCTACAGTGTCGCATTAGTGGGGTTCCTCGCGCAGTTCTTCATAGTCATCCCCAAAGTCTTTATGGTTACCATCATCGTCACCTTCATGGTGCTTGCAATGGCAACGTCACTCACCCAGGCCATAATGGTCGTCCTCCTCATCATCATTGTAGTCGCCGTCACCATCATTGTCGCTACACTTGTATCGATCGCATCAGTAGAACCATTGCTTCGCCCAATAGCATCATCATCCTCCACCTCAGCGTTGCCGTCATCACCATCATCATCCTGATGTTCATCATCATCATCACCACCACCACCACCACCACCACCACCATAAGTAGGGACTTAAAGATTCAAGGACGCGATGGCAGCGAAAACTTCGCTTAAAAAGTCAATTTGCATTCTTTCAGTCTTTATCGCGATTATTTCTACCCATTTACTTTGTCAAACGCAGGCGAACCCTACTATCATCATCATATTATCATCACCGCCACCACCATCAACACCATCATCCTCATGATCGTCACCATCGTCCTCATCGTCGTAGTGGTCAACACCATCATCATCACCGTCAATCTTTATCGCGCCATGTGCGGCTCACGATTCCAGGGTTGACGATGCAACCAGTAGGAGTTCAGTTATTTCAACGGAACTTATTTTTCTCTTTCTTCACCATTCTCCTGATTTTCTTCCTTCAGTGCCATGCCTTCATCCTCCAACTTCCCGGCAGAGTCAACTGTGGAGTCATGCAAATATCGTACTTCTAACACTGCCGTCAGGCAGTACAAGGAATCACAAAATGCTACCATTCAAATGAAACCGCTTCAGCACTCGCTTGACCCTATTTATTTTACCTCGCGTTTGACCAAAGCGACCCCATTAGGAGTTGGATGAATAAAATAACAGGAATAGTTGTAGTGGGTTAGCTCTAAAAAGGTCGAAAATAGTGATTTGCGAGACGTTTGGCTCTGTAGCTGTTGGATTTCTCGCCACAACAGGAAGCGAAAACTATGCTGTAGAATCTTGGCCAGCTATTTTTTCCACCTTTTCAAATCCTCTTCCTTTTTTTTTTTGCCGGGACTGATGACGTAGCTAGTTCTCCAGGATTCTACCGATTGAAATAGAAAAGAAAGATCGATGAAAGTAACTTTAACGTCGTCTAGTGTTATTTAGCTCGAGAATTTTGTGAATTGTTTACTTTGTGATCCTTCCATTAGACATGACAGGAAGAAATTAGCCTTTGCTTCCTATCGCGTATACGCATATCAGCTTATCAAAATGGTAAAGCTTTTGAATAATTATAATAATAATAACAATAACTAGTAGTTTCCATTGGAAAGTGCAGTAGCAAGGTTAGATTTATTTGGGGTGGTAATCACGAGCGCCGAAGGCACGAGCTGTTAAGGGGGTCCGGGGACATGCTGCCCCGGAAGATTTTGAACTATAGGGTCTGTGAAATAGCATTTTCAGCCTTCGAAGAGCATTAATTTCCCGCAATTTTTCGTTGTTGAAGCCATGAATAAATAATTTTGACGCTTTATCTAACCGAAATGAACACATTCAACCGAAGAGCAGCGTGAAGATCGTGGCCACTATGGCCCAGGCCCCCCAGCCCCTCCCCATGCTACGGCACTGAAGTGGAGTGCTGCGAGTATAGCCTGTGTACAGACGTCCCCCCTGAGGGAGAGGGGACGTCTGTACACAGGCAACTGCGAGTAAAGCTTACGCAGAAAAAGTTCCAATAAGTTTTTAATAATTTGCAGTGTACTTCGAATATAAGATTCTGATTGAATATTTAAATTTGACACTAAAAATAGAGTCAAGGAAACGGAACCGTGCATGTAACGCAATGAGAAACGTAGGTGGTCCATTAACTTCGCGTAGTCACTGATTTAAAAAAAAAAACAAATCGCCTGCAATCTTCGCTTCTATCGTATATAAGCCTTGCGACCGTTCTGTTATTCCCACTTTGTGATCAGGCAAGACCATGGTTTCGGTTCTCCAGGCGAACTTCATCAGTTGCCGGGTTGGCTTTCTGCTTTCTGCTTCTACAAGAGCAACTCTAGTTATTTGTTCTGTGCTGTTATTTGTTCTGCTCTAGTTATTTGTTCTGTAAATTGTGATTGCGTCGAGTGCAAGAGACTATAAAGGGCACAGAGAGGGCATCCCCCATATACACCCTATTCCATAGGTAATTCGTCTCGAGTTATTTTTAGAATCGGGATAAAGTTACCTCGCGCGAGGCGTGGATGTTTCGTGGAGGTTTCGCATGACCAAACGCCGTGCAAAACATGTCGGGCGAGAGGCAATGAAAGCGTAAAAAGATCGAGAGCATTCCTGAACATTGAAGCGAAATGAGTCAGCGCTCACCTGGGAAAAAGGAATCGCTGGACTCTTTGACAACCCGTGAAATCAGTTTAACTCGAAGTTGTCGTAACCTCAATACTTTAATAAAATGAGAAATTTCGCCGGTCTATTGAAACCGGTCGTTTGTACAATTTAGGGAGTTTAAGATCCAACGACGCGGACGACAACTAGAACGTCAAAAAAACAATAGGTTTAATTAGCAAAACAACAACTTCGCACGTGCAACACACTTGTTTGTTCATTTCTTTCCCGTTTTTGCACGACTACGACGTGAAAATGCCTAATTTCGCGTTTTATGGAGGACGTAAATAAGCAACGACGAAATTTTATTTCTCTTTCTGAGCTTGAATATGGTCCCTTGAAATTCAGCTTTAAGAGGGTTCGCCTACAATTGACAAAGTAAGTGGGTAGGAATAAAGACTGAAAAAAATAAACTTCAAACCAGAAATTGCTCTCTTCAAACTGTAAATTATAAATGATCCTGAGAGAATATTCACTGTGTTAAGGATTTCCCTGCTCTACTGTTAGCTCTATACAAGAGAGGAAGGGCGATTCTTTTTTAATTTCGGTTTCGCAGACACAGCTTTCGCAGAAATCTCGCTGTAGTCGTTTTCGTCGACAAAAGGAATAGCAAAATCGCTCTCCGCGTCTTCCCCCATTTTGTTCTGCGTTATTTCGTGAAGGACGCGTGGCTCTTAGCGTGGGTCATCCACGCGGAACACATTCGCGCTATGTGATTGGCTGTTGTCTAATCCCCCTTGAGATCTGTGGTGTTAAAATAACTCGAGACGAATTACCTATGGAATAGGGTGTATATGGGGGATGCCCTCTCTGTCCCCTTTATAGTCTCTTGGTCGAGTGTTAATAGCGGCTGGCGCGTTTTTGACAGATGTTGACAGATTTCCATGGAAGAGCCAATCAGAGTTTTGCGTTGTGAGAGCAACGCATTAGTTCAAAAACTTAGGCTTTGTCAGTAGTCCCTCATTTTTCTCTCTTCCCGCCGCGTGACGCCTTTTCTCGCGTGGGGTGATTTTCACGCGCGCTCGCGTTTCGCTCGCTCTACTATCCCTGAGTTAAAATGGGGGACTACTCGTAGTCTAAGTGTAAGAGAAAAGTCCAGAAGTGTTTATTTGCCAATAGGCTGAGTTTTTCCGAGTTATTCGATGATATTTCGCTTATGTTAAACGTGAGAAGATTATGCGTGGTTGTGGATAGTCTTATCAGTGCCGCGAAAGTGTGTGATTGTGTGATTTCCGCATGGTGTTGACAAGTATATGATCGCGTGGTTGAACTACGGTTTGGCCAAAATATATGTACCTTGGGAAAGCAACTCTCGACTCAGGAAAATTGAATCTCAGTCTAGTTTCAGCGGGCTCTAATGGCATTGAACCATAGACCGGTTTTTGTAGATATTTGTGCACTATGCAGACTGCAAAACAGTCCGTATTTTTGCGTATTCAAGTACGCACGAGCAGTCAAACAAAAGGTGTGGAACAAGGATGAAAACAGAGAGCGAGACTGGGGAGAGACGCTAAAAATACGGGCGTGTGAGGCTCGCGCGGTTCGCGCGCGTAAGACTCTTACTCCACGCTCTACTGATTTCTTTACTGATTTTGAGGAAAAAACCGACTGTTTTGCAGTCTACCAAATACATCCTTTTAGCTTTGAAAGTTCTCGTTTATTAACAAATGTTGAACATTTATGTCGGCAAACAAACGGTTGAAAAAGGATTTTACAAAAGTCTGAAAAATAGGTCTCCTTTTCGATTTCAACTTGTAATATCGCTCAATTTACGCAACTTTTAAACTTCTGGCTCAGTTTTTGTTTGCTTCTGCTTTAAAAATGGAATAATAATTACTGAGAGACAATACAGTGTAAAGAATTGTTGAGAAAAACAACAAAAACTTGCCAATTTATGACAAAAAAGGTACTTTAAAAACGAACTAAAACATTCAAAACGCTTTGATCACGTGACTGAGGTCATGGAAAAAATTATCAGGTAAAACATTAGTCCTGCAAATTTTCTGAAAGGTTGACACTCTACAGCCCTCGGCCTAGTCTCCTGACTTTTTCGCTCATTTCCATTACCTCCCTAAATTTTAAATGCCAGACGTCAACTGGTTATTTTTAAATGCCCAACACATCCAAAACCTCAAATATGCTATTTGTTTTTAACTTGTCAATGAAATCTTGTCACAGCAACAATAAAACCTAGTTCGGCAATAGTCATGTGACTGATGACATCATTACCTTAGATGTGACATGGGAAGATATTTTATGGCAAATGTTATCTTGTTTTGGTCTGTCAGTCTTCTACGTATAAAATTGTCAAAGTCATAAAGCTTTATAAAAAATGCTTCAAAGGATTCTGGGAGATTTTTTAATGATAATTATAACTTACTTTTATAATTATATTATCATTACTATCATTATTATTATTATCATCATCACCATTGATGTTGCCCACCCATTTAACACTAGTGAGCAAGGAAAGAGCTGAGAAAATCGATAATTACTATGACTTAAAATTCGAGATGAAACGCATTGGGACCTGTCGATCAGTTCAAGTCATCCCAATAATGGTAATTGGTGCACTGGGAACAGTTCGAGAGTACTTGGAATGTGGCTGAGACAGTTGGGAATGCCATATTCCATAGAACGTTTACAGCAAATAACCTTGCTGGGTTTAGGAAAGATTTTGTGTAAGTGCCGGACACTTAATATTCAGGACAGAAGAGATGGCAAGAAGTATCCTAGGTCACAGGCTGTGACCGGATAGTCTGAACGAATCCTGCATTATGTAGTGAAAGGCCTAGTAAAAGAAGAAGAGGAAGAAGAAGGAAGTAAATGACATAACTTGATATGATAAGAGGATTTCAAACTGCATAGAAATAAAGGGCAGAAGATAAACCAGTTAAATGCTCCACGACTCTTTAATCTATTAAATAAATAGATACAGCATACCTGGACAATTTGAATATTTGGTGTAGTAGAGGCCAGTTCTTCTTGAACTCTTGATAACTTTAACAGAGCAAAAAAAGCAGTAAAAATTTGTTTTAAACCTCACCCTTTATACAACCACTTCGTTATTTAATAAGACCACATTCATCTGGTCTAAACTTGAAAAACATGAGTTCAGTCATCTCAAAACTTCATTACTATGACCTGCTCCTCGCTTCTCCTTGGTTGTCATATAACTAGACAGGGCTTCACTTTAGTTGCAACACCCTATCAAAGATACCTAAGCTATATTGTTGGCCTTTTGTCTCACTGAAGGAAAAGAATTATTGTAGCAGCTGCTAATTTTTCTTCTTAACCCACAGAGATATAAAAAACACGGCCATCTTTACCTGCTACATGTTGACCCTGATTTAAATTTTTTCAAACGATTAAAGACATTACCTTGTGTATTTTATTTCTGATAGAAATTGCAGTCTTGTCAAGTGAATCATCACCAGTCTAAAAAAATTGAAAAATAAAGAGTAAATAACAGTAACATTATGATAACAAACGTACCTGGTTTGGTGATAACAGAGCTAAAGTTTGGACAAGTAATGTTGCAATTATTTTGTTGAGATTTGGTAAGGCAGTCCCTCAGCTCTGGGTGAAACAGAAACTGTGGATGACATAGCAAAACAAATGCATAACCCTTTCACACTCAAAAATGCTGGCATAAATCAAAATTCAACAAATTTCCAAATTTCATTTGCAGGGTGTCCAGCAACATGGTTGCTCAAAAAAACAGGAAAATAGGAATCTCAGGATTGAGAAAATAAGAAACTTTGTATTAAAAAATAGGGGAAAATAGGAAAATCAATAGTGCTTTCGTCGACAAAGATAGCCTCCCTGAGCATGGTTCTATAATCAATGTTGTTTACATGCAAATTGGTGGCCAATCTTTGAAAAGCTTCAAAAAGTGAAATTTTTTAGGATGGAAATTTCTGACGATTGCGTTGTCATTGAAGGATATCGAACTAGGACTAAAAAGTCCTGTGGAAAGCTTTCCTTCCATTAATCTGCAATCGGTAGCTGGTTGAGAATATGCTTGTTTGAGTCAAAAGACCGTACAGTTTTAAGTATGAGCCAGGCTTTCCACGGAGTACGCGAAATGACACTGATCTATTTGGTACCAGATTGTAAGTGTATCATGATTAAGTTCTAAGAAGAACGTAACTCTCTGCTTAGCTACGACTGCAAGACCAGTTTTGCAACCAAAATATTGGATCCTTCGACAGTTTCTTAGGTATAGCTAGCTGTTAACAAGGGTCACCAATAGAGGTAGTGTTGTAAACAAAACTTGAGTCGACTGTTCTTTTCATACATAGCATCCAGAATCCAGCTAGTGATTGGTTTTTTAAACAAGAAGCTGATTGATGACTTATCTGACCTGTGTTATGAGAGGACAACTTGATCCTGTTTTCAGTTTCAAAGATGAACATAAAAGCGAGCAAGACTTCAAAATAAAATATAACATGTACAGATACTGAAATGCAGTTTCAGTGGGCTATGCACAATATTATTCAATGGTCATGAGACCTATAACACTACATACAACATGTAGGTGCACTAGAAAATTATACAAAAAGTAACAATATAACAAAGTTGTTAACAGAACTCTAATAAGCAATAGAGGTCATGGAAAGAACAAAAATTTAACTATTATTTTTGCTAATATTAGAACATTGAAGTCAACATACTACTTGCTTTATGATAAATCTCACTCCAAAACACATACAACTATAATAATTTATATTCCATTTTCAATTTTGTTAAAAAAATAGGAGAAATAGGAGGTTTTAGTTTAAAAATAGGAAAAAATAGGAATGGGCTGAAAAAATAGAAAAAAATAGGAACTGGACACCCTGGGTTTGTAAAATGGTGAAAAACAAAATTTAATAGTACCATCGATGTGAAAATGCTAATACAGAGGTTTCACTTGAATGGTCACACTAGAGGATTTTGTCCACAGACTTAAAAGTTAGAACTACATACTAAATAAGCAGTACCATGTGGTTTCATTGCAATGGTCACACCATAGGATTTTGTCCACAGACTTAAGTTAGAACTACATACTAAATAAGCCGTACCACATGGTTTCATTTCAATGGTCTCATTATAGGCTTTTAGTCCACAGACTTAAGTTGAAACTACATACTGTGAAAATAAACAGTACCATGTGGTTTCATTCGAATGGTCACATCATAGGATTTTGTCCACAGGCTTCAAAGTTAGAACTACATACTAAATAAATAGTATCATGTGAAAGTACTGCTGAAGAGGTTTCATTTGAATGGTAACACCATAGATTTCATCCACAGACTCAAAAGTTAAAACTACATACTTAATTTGGTTTCATTTCAATGGTCACTTCCTAGGATTTTGTCCACAGACTTAAAAGTTAGAACCACCTTACGAGTATTAAAAACTTACGAGACTCCATCATTCATTCTGGAAGTGAAAGGGTTAACCCACTGATATGACTCAATATTCAGGGAAAAGTCAGTCTGTTATAGGTAACACAACATCACTTCAAAGTATAAACAGAACTGACATACAGTTTAATGGTAGTGATTATCCTTATAATATTATAAAAGGAATGAAAAATACAATTCATTACCAAGGAAGCCTGATTGGAAGAATCTCTGAAAAGAAAGGAAAGATGAAAATCAACTCCTAATTCCAGTCGATCAAACTACATGCACAAAGTCACTTTTTCTTGTTTTCTTAGATTTCTAATTTCCAATTCAATCTGGAATAAATATGTTAGACAAGGATGAACAAATTATGTGGCATTGATACCACCAAAATCATTTATTATTATTATTATTATTATTATTATTATTATTATTATCATTTATGGTTTTTATTGAGTGAATACTATGTCCATTAAACAAAAGCACATTTAAGTACTTTTAGAATAACACAAAGAGACAAGACCCTCTAAGAATTTACAAACTTCATATCACACAATACAGAGCAACTGCTGTTGGTAGCATGACATAAATAATTGACTGTCCCATATTTTTTTTATTAATTAATGAATGATTGATATCAGTCCTCCACAGGGTTTGCACTTTTTTCAGCTTTTAAATTTACATAACTTTCCATGACTTTTTCCATGAACTTTTCCAGTTTTCCAAGACCTTAGGATTAGCTGTCACCTTTGAAAATTTTCAAACCTATCCTTGTTTGAGGGTATTTTTGACCTAACTCATTTTATCAGCTACAAAACTCTGGTGTCTACCAAAATATGTGCTGTTCGCACTATTTAATTACTTGTCTCTATTTTACTTTGTTGTTGCTTTGACATCTGCAGTACCAAAGTTAACAAAACTTTAATTTTCCATGACTTTCCATGACCGACAATCAAATTCCGTGATCTTCCAGGCCTGGAAAATGAAATTGTTAAATTTCATGACTTTCCCGGTTTTCCATGACCTGTACAAACCCTGCTCCAATAACTAAAAATATTATTGGACACATGGCCTAAATTTTCCAACTTTCGTCAGTGTTAGCTTGTCCAGCCCAGATTTAACTCAGTCAGAAATTTCAATATTTTGACTTACTACTACTACTACTACTACTACTACTAATAATAATAATAGCACTGTCACTTAATCTTAATTAGTAAATCTAACCCTTCTTCAAGTTGTGGTCCAATCATAACTTGTGACATGTAAACAGTAAATGGCCTTTCTTGCTCACTTTTTCTACTTGTCTTAACATTGTCTAATACTGATGGCTCTGCAGTAGGAGGTGGTGGTGGTGGAGGAGGCAGGGGAGGCGGAGGAGGGAAATTTTGCATGTATGCTGGAAGTGTTGCATGGGCTGATGGTACCCGAGGTAAGTCCCATGGGGGAGGGCGTGGAGGGTATTGGAATGGATAAAGATGTTGTGGAGGTGGTGGTAAGGTTGGAAATGATGAGCTTGACTGCAGCATGTGGTCTGTATAATTTGCATGATACGATAGGCCTGATGTTTTCACAGTGAGGCTTGTTTGCAGTCTTTGGTCATCTGAAGAAGACTCAGGAATCCTTTGGCTTGTTTCTGTAGGTTTCTTTGGCAAAGAGTCTTCAGTGCCAACTGGTGAAGAGTCTTTGGTCACTGTTTTTTTCTGTTGCTCACCAAAAAGCTCTGCAAATATGTTTGCAAAACATATCATTAATATAAGAAAAAAAGTTTCCACGCCTGAAATATATTAGGGAGTTTTAGCGACGATGACAGCGACAGCAACGAGGACGTCAAAAAATCAACTGGTTTATTACAGGTTTATTACGCAAAACAACTTTGCATTTGCATTACGTTTTTTTGCACGTTTCTTTACTGTCCTGAAAATGCCTAATTGCAATGCAAGTTTTATGGAGGACATAAACAAACGACGACGAATCTCTTTTTCCCTCTCTAAACTAATGAGTGTGGCCCTCAAGAAATCAACTCCAGGAAAATTTGCCTACATTTTCCATTTTCAGCAAATTGGAATAAACCCAACAGAGATTGAAAAAACGGGAATTGATTTTAAAAAAGACGTTTTTGCTGCCATTGCCTTTGTCGATGCTAAAGCTCACTAGTCTGAATTGACAAAACTGGACCATTATCTTTGAATTCAACAGATGCAAAAAAGATTTTAGCCTTTTAAAAAGATAGAACTAACCTCTTGTCTTTTTTGCTATAACTTTTCTTCTCTCTTGAAGTTTCTCTCTTGTGTCATTGACCGTTTCAAACTCTGGAGCATAACACACATGTAATATTCCTCCAAAGAATGATTTATTGTCCAGCTTTTTCTTGGCAAACCTTAAAAACAAATCACAACGACAATGAACTCATGCTTTACTAACTGCCATGGTCCTTTTCTTTGTTGTTCCTTGGTTAATACTATACACCCCGAACCACTGGTGTCACCTACCTGCTCTCTCCCTCCCCTTGGAAATAAGTCTCATGCCTGCAGCCCAAAAACTTTAATCTCAACAAGGCTGTGCTCTAAGAAAAAATGAATAGAGCCCACTGCTCTGAACACAGGGAATCCAGCATATGATTTTTATGAAAAATGAAACTTTTCTACTCACCCAGTAGCAAATATAAGGCACCAGGTGCCACCAGGCATGGCTTAAGCACAACACTGCTCAAATTACCAGCTCAAACCTGCAGACCAATTTCTCATGCCCTGCAGAAAAATTTGAGCCACTCCTGTCTTTTGCATATGTTTGGGTTTCCTTAATTTTATTTGTACCGTCATATTAAGTTTCCATCATTACTTTGGTGGGGAAGGGTGGTATTGCAGCCCTCTGGAATGATGCCAGGGAACAAACACAGGTGGCAAATTATCTGTACTATCACACCTAGTCATATTTGACCTCCTTCCATTATGTGGGAGTCCCAAATTGGAAATATGACCATCTCCATTTAGATTTGTATTCTTACAGTTAACATCAACTTCAAACAATGCATGAAGTCCAAAAAAACTGACTTTGTTAAGGCCCTGCCAGGGTAAATTCCGACAAGCGACAAGGCTTAAAAAGTAGTGGCACCACGTAAAATGAAATCATGACAAGAGACAACCTTCCTCGGCCAAATTGCAACATTAACGGCGAAGCCGACAATAAGCAACAAGCATTTATAACACCAACACGAGACGTTTTAAAATTCAGACGGGCGACATGGGACCCCCTCCTGGAAGGACCTCTTTGTACCTACAATACCTTGCTGAATTTATCCTCTGAAACTTAATCCAGTAAACCTCCGTGAAGGGCTCAGCAGGATACTCATCAAGAAAACGATATCTAAAGCAAATAATTAACAATAATTATTCCTTGAGCCCGGATGGGCTATGACTCAGAGGCCATTAGGGCTCAACGGGATACTCATCAAGGAAACGATATCTAAAGCAAATAATTAACAATTATTCCTTGAGCCCGAATGGGCTCTGAGTCAATAGCCCATGAGGCAGAAGGCCGCTATTGACTCAGAGGTTATGAGGGCCAGAGGAATAATGTTTTATTAAAATCCAACTAGTTGGTCAAAAATATCGAGACAAAACAACTTCAGCTGGGAAAACGCGATTCAGCCATCATTGTTTTGGTTTTCAAAGTCCGTGCTTTTCGCTATTAGTGGGCTATAACATATAGCCTAGTAGTAGTTCAACCAATCAGAATGCAACATTGATAATTATACCACTAGTTGGATTTTACTAAAATGCCTTAGTTTAAGAGTACCAAAACTCGACTAGTTGAAAAAAATCCTAAAATGCGTTTTCTTAAACTTAAAAAAAGAAAAGGAACATACAAAAGTATTGCCAAAAATTGTCAGATTCCAACATGAATAAATAATAAAACAAATTTTGAAGCATTTTATTAGTGAGAAAAACTTAGTTAAGTTGAAACAGAACTTAGCATTCAGGGGGGGACTTGGACCTTCTGGTCATGCCTTTCACCTAGTTTTGGTGACAAAAACTGAATGAGAAACAGCCTGAAATTTTTATTTTTTTTCTTTCTTGATAAAGAAGTTTAACTAATAAATCTGGATTAAGAGAAAATTAAGCCATTTCCTTAGAACTGTATTATCACTTCACAAATTTTATTTTATGCAAAGTAATAGTTATTGTCACTTAAATAAGCTTACTCTTCGATTGCTCCATAAAGTGCAAATTGCTCAAGTAATTCCTTGACAGCACCTACAGCAGGTACACCTTGAACCAAAACATACTTAGATTCCAAATTTATGGTGTAAACCTTAAAAACAAAAGAACAGAATTATTAAAGCTTAACAAAACCTGTTAGTTGATACGCTTATATATAAATATGAGAACCACACCCGCAAAATTGGGTTAATACACAGTTAACAAAATGTTAATAAAAGTAATCAACTCCATACTAACAATTACAGATTAGGAATGCGACCGTAAATCTTACAATTTCGTTCAAGGTAGAGCCAAAATGTTTCTTTCTGTGATAAAATTAAAACGTCTCAAATCTCAAAGTACAAACCTTTACGGCCCTTTCCCAACGAGCCTCCCGATATTTTGGACGACTATAGCTTAATGAAGTTTGTTTATGATGTTTCTTGACGGAAGAAACTTCTTTTGCATCCGAATGCTTGCTTTGCCCGTCCGCCATGTTGTCAAAAAATGTTGCGATTACATGACACCAAATTTAACTATAACAGCTTCTGCTGGCTCACTCACATCGCAGGCGACGTTTTACAGGACCACAGATCAAGAGAAGTTCAGCTGCTGAGAAGTTCTGTTAAATTATTTTTTACAAAGTTATTGTTTTTAATTTCAGCTTTTTTTAAATGCCCGCGAAAAAGAAAAAGCAAGTTTCCAACCAAACAGCCCACAAATCAAGTAATGGGTCTAGTTACCTCGTAAAATCAACGGGGCGAAACAAGTTTAAATCCAAACACAAAGAAGCTAGCGGGAAAATTGATTCGTCGACCTCTGTCCTTGAACCGTTTAGGAAGTATGGATATGGTTATGCTTCTTTGGTGCTAATCCTAGGTCTGCAGTTTATTCTTTTCTTTGTACGATAGAATATCTATTTCTTGACATATTTCACAAATCTAGCGTTGACTTTTTAACTTCTTTAAGAATATGTGCGCTTAATTCGTACTTTTACATTTAAAATTAACCTTCTCGTTATTTGTTCTCCAACAGCTGCAAGTTTTGGGATCTTTCAAAGGTAAACTTATTTCTGCGAAATGATTTATACAGTATTTCATGTTAAGTGTTGGTAAATTTAGAATAACAAAATGTAATGTATCAAAATACATAAGGACCTCGTACGGTACATTGATCATATCAGATTAAAGTCAATATTGACTTCAATATCGATACTGTAGCAAAAATCACTTTGTTTTTTTTTTCCTGAAGCTACCACGTGTCAAGAATGTTTGAGAACGAGCGCTTTTTCTCGCATTTGTCTGCTCTAGAGAGGGAATTGTCTTTTAGAACTGAAATGGTGAGTTTTTCTGATGTTCATTTTATTTGAACTACTACGTATTCTTTATGTTCTGTGTTTTTTTTTTTCAATTAATCTAGTGTGTTTTATAACATTCACGTGTAATGCGTGGTTCATTACCACCCCCTCGGGAAAACCCCCTAGGGATTTGCAATTGTCTTAGGTTTTTTTTAAATTTTCCCAACCCCCTTAACCCCAGGGACATGCCTGCCTCAAACAATTCCCTACCTCATGTGCTAAAGGGCTGGACTTCTCCAGCCGTTGCCACGGGGGACAATTCATCCCCTCATTATTATAAGAAATCTCAGTATAAGAAACAGACCCAAAAATGGCTTGTAGCCCCTTTAACTAAGTAGATCTATAATATGGTGGTACATGTATGGTGTGTGGCAGACTGGTGAATATTACTGTTTTTCTTTTTTACTTCATAACAGGGTCTCTACTACTCTTACTATAAAACTGTTGTGGAAGCACCAACATTTGCTGAGGGAGTTCATGCCATAATGAACTGTAATATCACAGAATATCCAGACACCATTAACACTCTAAAAAGATTTAATTTATATCCTGAGGTAAGTAGTTGTTTTTATTGATAAAAGACCCTTCCAGGATTTTTTTCAACTTCTACTGGAAGATTGGCAAAAATCAATTGGCAAAAAAAATCTGTTATTAAACACGTTTGGAAAGACTTGAAAACTTCGTCAGGGCTCAATTTCTCACGTTGAATAAACGTTGTTTTTTGAAAGTGATTTCCAAAAATGTTAACTCAGACCCATGTAAAAAAAAAATGAATAAATGAAATAGATAGCTCTGCAAAGTCAGATAACCGCCTTGGCAGACTTTGGACATCTTCGAGAGTTTATGATCGTGTCGTCTTCAAAAATCCCAGCACTCCCAGGATAAAAATCTCACACTTATATCTCAGAAAAAGTTGGCAGGTATAAAGTTACCAAGTTTGAAGGTGATTTGTTGAAAACTAACAATTAGATAGCTCTGCTAAGTCATGGAGTTTATTGATGTTTGTTTGGTGGGGGGCAAGTTTTGTAAATTAGCTAATTTAAGTTTTAAGGCGCTGTTCCAGCAGTGTCAGTGGATATTGGCTTACTGGCCTTTATCAAAACCTTGAAAAATCCCATGGAAAGGTCTGTTAAAGGGGTGTGTGCCCTAATAATAATAATAATAATAATAATAATAATAATAATAATAATAATAATACTTTATTAAACTCTTCTCAAATTGAAAATTAAGTACAAATTTAGTATAACTATAGTTAAAAAAGACAATGAAAAATTCTGGTGGTTTACAAATTAAGAAAAGTAAAAAAAACTGTCTAAAAACTAAAAAAAAAGAAAATTTCTATGTTCATGCAATGAAAAATATATGTAAAAAGCAATGTTTAAAAGGAAAAATTTACAGATTTTGAAAATATGAAAACTATTAAAAAAGTATATACCCTATGTTCAAAGACAGGGTGCCATAATAATAATAATGATAATAATAATAATAATGGATTGATAGGTAACGAGTAAGTCTCAGTTCCTGAAAGGCCAATAAGCTCAAATCAAGGATTAACATTTTAATCAAAGATTTTATAAATCTTCTCTTCTGATAGATTGTTTAGAGTATCACTTTGTGTTATCATAGCTAGATCTTAGAGTAAAGGCTCAACAAAATTTTATAAAGCTTGAGATACATTCCTAGATCAATATTTTCTGCACCCGCCAGAAGGTTTGCATATAGCTATTATTACCGTACATTTTACCAGCAAGAAATGATATTGTTCTCTGGCAGGTTGTTCTTGGATTTGCTTTCCGCGTGTATGATTGGGTAACAAGAAGCATGAACATTCACACTAAGACTTGCTATACAGTTAACAGAGGCTATGACTTACCTCCTGTACAAAGCTGTGAGGGTAAGAGCTAACTCACCTTTTGCTACTAGTGGTAACCAAAAAAAAATTACCAAAACATTCAAATTTCTCTTTTGTAAAATTCTACAAAATAAATGGCACAATGCCAAAGAGGTTTCATTTGAATTATAGTAATACCATAGGATTTCATCAACAGACTCAAAAGTTAGAACAACATACTAAATAAATAAAGCAGTGTAAAAGTACTAATAAAGAGCTTTTATTTGAAACACCATAGGATTTCATCCACAGACTCTAAAGTTAGAACTACATACTAAATAAAATAGTACCATGTGAAAGTGCGCTGAAGAGGTTTCATTTGAATGGTAACAACATAGGATTTCGTCCACAGACTCAAAAGTTAAAACTACATACTACATAAATATTACCATGGAAAATACTGCTAAAGAGGTTTCATGTGAATGGTAACACTATGGGATTTTGCCAAGACATTTAAATGGTAGAGTGACATTATTATAACCTGGTCAAGGAGTAAAAGAGGTATTAAACCTTGACATAATTTTAATAGAAGTGAACAGTCCTCTACCACAGGCGATTGGCACCGAGGGTAATTATTACTATTAATTTCACATACAAGTTGTTAAAGGGTAACAGCTTCAAATGGGTTCATAAATGGACACTTTTTTTCTGGGGAGAAGTGAGGACTCCATTTAGTAGCAGTATTAAAAAAAATTCCCGGCGAGTGATTACATAGAAGCAGCATTATTGATACAAATATTGAAAATTATGAAATTTTTAGCAAAGTCTTGCTTGTCAGTGCAAAGCGTCACTGACAGTAAAAGTGTTATTATTTTATGTGCATGTATTTACTATATTTGCTTATTTCCTTTATTTTTTATTAATTCAAATTTGGTTTATGGGTGTTCAAGTATTAACTCCCTTTTTGTTTACGGTTAATTCATAAAAATCAACATTATGCTTATATTTCATTTTTCACTTTGGAAAATATGGTTTACTTTTTCAGGTATGGGGGAGCTATCATTTTTCTATGTTTATGCCATCTTTTATCTTAGTGGATTCATGATGTCCATGTTCTTTTTACTTTGCTTTTATCTGAGGTGAGAATTATTTAAGGTTCCCAGCAACAGTGTCCAGCTTTCCTCAGCACTCTTATCTTCTTCCTCTCTCCCCATCCCTTATCTCCTTCTCTTTGTTTGTGACATCGTCTCTTCGTTCCCTACTCCATCCCTTTGTTCCTTTAATTCCATCTCATCTTCGTTCTGTGCTTCTACACCTGTTGTATCTTGCTTCTTTTCTTCCAATCCCTAATCTTATTTTTTTTTCCATTTTAACTGAAACTTGCAGACAGGACTAATGTTTTGTCATTGTAACTTATTTCAGTGGCAGTATTCTTGGTGGACTTATAGGTACTCTTTCTTACTTCTACAATCATGGTGAGGTGAGATACCTTCTAATAATTTTAAGTAAAAGGAAATAATCAGACCAAGCCAAAAGATGGTTGTTTCATTGTTCAAGAAGGCATATTAATGATGACCCTTCTAGTACATGTAATTAAAGGTAGATTCTCTCAGCGGGTTTTATTTTAAGCCATTGCAAGAACTCATCATTTTAATTTGTGAGTTTATGACCTTCTCTTTAACAAGCTTTGCTAAAATTTACCTGACTGTGTTCTTTTCTATGCACAGAGCACAAGAGTTATGTGGACTCCTCCACTGCGGGAAAGCTTTTCATATCCATTTCTCGTCTTTCAACTTCTGGCTGTTACTCTAACAATCAAGTAATTCTCTAGATAATACTACAAGTTGACAGTTATTGGTAGAATAATGAAATTTTTGTTTTAATATCTGCATGACTAATTAATGTTCAATAAGATCTCTTCTTCACATGAGCACAAGCACCTAAAGGGAAAAATTTTCCTTTTTTTAATATGCTTTGTTAAAGCACCAAAAAAACTTTAAAAAATGATATTACTCTTACAAAAAGTAAAAATAAATTACCAAGTAGAGAAAGGTTGATTTCACCAGTGCATGGATACTGTACTAGCAAAAGGAAATAACAATCCATGATGATAAGAATCAAATCCAGTTGTTTGAGGAGAAGTAGTTTGTTATATTGATCTTTTTGTGCTTGCATCTAGGTCATTTTCACAGTGAAATAGTGAAAACCAGTCGAAAATAAATTTATTATACATGCAGCTTAGGCCCTGGCCTTGTTAGCCAGCTAGCTGACTTGTGTTTGTGATTATTAAGTATCTAATTTATTTATTTCTATACCAAATTTTCGTAGGTCTTCTAGGGCAGATTGGAGACATCTGTTATTAGTCGCCATAACAACAAGTTTATTCATGATTCCATGGCAGGTGGGAAGTAGGAGCTTGTCTTTTCCATGCTTGTTTCCTTACTTTGTTTGATGATCTGTAATATTAATGATTATATTTCTTAACTTGATGTATGCCTTTTTTTATTTTTAGTTTGCCCAGTTTGCATTGCTTACTCAGGTACCCCAGTAGCAATTTTGTTACATAATATTCCAGGAAGTACATGTAGATAGAAATTATTTGCAATATATAGAGTGTTGGTTTATTGTGATTTTAAGAAAACAACTATTCAGTAGAAACTGAAGTGTCTCCAAAATGTACTTAGCTTTCTCGCAATAGGAGTAGGCTACAATAAAATACCTTAAACTTCCGCGTAGTACCTGTAGGCTCGATTTCCGCCGTCTCCCGAACAGCTGCTGGTAATCGAGCCTAATCTACCTGTAAACAAAAAAATACATCTGGTTAAAAGCCCTTCCCCCTATATAAACTCTTCTAACTTGTATTGAAATGAATTCGATTTTTTACGACGTTTCAAAGCATGCATAAGGAATACTTTTTATACATTTTTAAAAAAATTGTGAATGTGTTATCCAAATAGACTTTACTTAATACGTTTTAATTACTTAAGGATAGTTTTTTTTGTTGAGGTGTAGATCAGAAGTGTGATTTACTTTATTTATTATTATTATTATTATTATTATCATTATTATTATCATCATCATTATTATTGTTTTTATTGCAGACTTGTGCTTTGTTTGGTTTATACTTTCTTCAGTTTATTACTTCACAAAAGCTCTGTACCATTCTGTATGGTCTTCTGGTACGTTTTTAATGTCTTTTGCATATAGTAATTCAGGACTTGAGTATGTTAACCACTGGACAATACTGGCAGTGAGAACTATTTGTTCCTGCAAAAAAAAAAGAGGTAATTTCAAAGAACAACTCCCCTAAACCGACTGTCAGCCAACTCAGTGTCGGTCAACGTTCGACACATTACCGAGATATTACCGACAGTAACATCTTCACGAAAAGCTGTTCAAATTAAAAACCTAAGACACGATTCGACAGCATGTCTCGCACGACAATGAATGAAATAGTCTAGAGCATTGTCGTGCAACTTGTGAGTTACAACAAAGCCGGTTTACTTGGCTGGAAAATATGCCTTTTTCTTTGGCTGCTCCGTTGACGTAAGGAGCTCAAGTAACGACGACATCTTCGCTGACAACGAGAACTGCAAAGAATCATTTTAACAATAATGAATAAAACAAGTCTCACTGTCTTGGCTTCGCCTTGAACCATCAAAAATTTGGTGGGAAAAAAAAAGCCTTTGGCACCCAGGGAATGTAACGGCTAGTCTGAACAACTGGTAACAACCGGTTTCGCTACGTGTCCAGTTCGCTACGCCATAGTTCGCAACAAATTCGCAACATATTACTTTCTGTAAACAACTGAAAATATTCCCTTAATCGCTCTAGAAAAAAAATCTTTCAATATATTATTTCTCGTTCTTTTGAGCGTGCCCCTCCGAGGGTGTAAGTTTTGGACTTTGCCAATAGGCAGCGAGACGAATATGTAGGTAGCGAACTCGAACGTAGCTAATTTGACAAGTAGCGAAACCGTTGTAAAGCGAACAACTTTGTTTTGAACTCTTGCGTGTGTCCTGTAAGTGGCAACGTTTGTATCTTGTAGGTTGGACACGTATTAAACTTTATAATTCAGTTCGGGAACTCCATGCTTCTCAGGTGAGGAATATATCATTCTACATAAAGAATTGTCTGCAGATCTCAAGTTCGCGAAATTTTACGGTAGTTTTTTGCAGGGAGGCCCCGCCCAGAGGTGTAAGTCCTTACCCTATTATATACCCGTCGTGACAAAAAATGTACCCCTAGATTAGTAGCACAATCATACCCATTTAGCTTACCTTCATAAAGTGATAGCATAGGAGAGAGGAGCTTGCTTAAATGAAATTGAAGTTAGTGATTTCACTTAAAAAAAATCGTTATTTTTGTTATTTTTCTCCTCGCTTTGCAAGTGAGGCACGTAGATAGCTGATGTTTTCTAATTAAATTTTTCTTTTCACGGACAGTTCATTCTTCTTGTCAGCTCTCATTACCACTTTGGTGAGTATTTTGGTCTTGTCAGTTATCGGTAACGTATTTATTTAAAAAGACTCTTGACGTTCAAAACAACCACCTTTATTTCGATTACATTCTACATTCAGCCTTAAACTTTAGGCATCTTTTGCAAGGCTTGTTTTTGTTCATTGTATCTAAACTGTAAACAACAATTGCATCTAAATTGGACACTGCAAATACAGAAGGAAACCAAGGTTATTTTCATAACTTGAAGTGAAGTTTGTAGACAAGCAATGGAGCATTGGCATCGTGTAGCATATACGTAGTCTGTGACAAGTGAAGTAGTTGCGACTTCAGATAAACATTATTCATTTAAAACATTTCACCGTTTCTGGTTGGCTTAAAGCCCGTGGTTAATTCTTCAACTGGTGCCTACCATATTTGGAAGATCGAGCAATATACCATCGAATCAATGGTATCTTCCAAATATGGTATTGATCAGGCGCGGCCGCCATGCTGTTTATACACCACTGAGCTAAAATAAGGAATGGCGAAAATCCTTAAATAAGAATGGCCGAGACCAGATTTTATGAACCCGCGAGACTGAGCACCCCTTGACCCAAATCCCTGTTTTCACTAAAACCGCTGGACGCCACAACCTGCTTGAGGTCAGTGTTATCGAAGGTCTTCAGAAAGTGGCTTTCACGGTTATCAGAAGACGAAATAGCTGAATTTCTCACTAAAACTGAACGGAAAAAAAAGCAAGAATACGCAAAACATTTTGCTCGATAAATGTTGTATACTCGTAGGATGTTATCCACCTCGGCCTTCACCCTCGGTGGATAACATCCTTCTTCCTCAATCTGCATAATTCTTGACATCCAACTCAGCCTCATGTGATAATTGCTAATTACGTGATTTATTTCATTTTTTTCTCATTTTCTTGGTAGGTTGTTGCTAAACTTGAACCTGTCATTTACCGTCTTCCACATCAGCTTCTTATTTGGGTAATGTGTCTTATATTTTGAAAGTTGTATATCCTTAAATTTCCTGTTAAGAACCGCATTTTAGTCTTTTAGGACCAGTAATGACAGACAGATCTGAGTAGTGAACAACTTTGCGTATGCAACGACTAACCTTACTTGTCCAATAAAGTTTTTTTTTCGTACACGAATTGTGCATGCCTATTGCCATTTGCCACTCCGGAACCTCCGGGGAGACTGGGTACCAATTTTGCGCAGTTGTTTTTCTTATTGGATTATGGTTTTTATAATAGCAACTTTTAACCAATCATCATGCATCTGATTGGTTACCCAAACATGTGAAGTTTTGCACTGATCTATTGATTTGAAAGAAGAAATCTGCTCTATTTTTCAGGCAGCACAAGGTGTTATGTTTCTTGCTGGGACTGTAGGAATCAAGATTGCTATAGCAAAGATTCTGGGAATTGCAGATGATGTAAGTCAGGAGAAAAGATGTTTTAACAAATGTATCAGAACCAGTTATGTTTGACTTTGACAAAAAGGCTGGTTACTGGAGTGTTCGCAGTTCTTTTCCTTCCCCGTCACTTAGATAAGGGCGGGGGAACTCCGAAAGATTTTTTTTCGGCCCTTCGGGACTCAGTTTGGTCTAAAAATAAGGGGGGTGGGCACCGGCCCCCCCGGGCCCCTCCCCTGGATCCGTTACTGCTTGTTAAGGCTATGTTCATCCCATACCGGAAAGCTTTTCGCGCCGACATGAAAAACTGTCCGGTATAGTATGAGCAGCAACGGCACAGAACTGGAACAAGTCGTTCACACACATCGAACATGGTGCCGGAGCGGTTGGCCGAGAGAGTTTGGTGAACTAAATCCCAGTCCTCTTTTCTAGATGTTCACTTTCGTCTCAGTCGATTCCAGTCCTCGCTCCTACTCATTTACTTACGCTTCGGTCCGAATACCAGTTCACATTGCGAGACAGAGTGGGATAAACCTTTCCGATATGTGACGATCCACTTTCAAA